TCTGTACCACAGCAAATGTTTAGATTAAGTTAATGGACTTTATACATACTGAAGTATTTTTATCATCAAAGAAGCATTAGAATCACTGGTTGCCTATTTCAACTTAATAATTGCACAGAAGATCACATGTTTCTTTAGGTTTTAAATGAATCATACAATAACTCAGTTTACTTTGTTTTCCAACATAATGTAGATTTCTTGCAAATAAGAAATGTTAGGGATTCGGAACAACATAGCATTTTATTATCTATGGATCTGACAGAAAGAAAGTAAGAAGTTGAAACTGCAATCTGAGTTAGTCATGAAAGACTACTCTGTATGGCTGCTCAAAAGAAGTGCAATGCAGAGCATTCAGCAATTACTAAAACAAGGTAACAAAATTGCATGTCTTTAATTATTCCTAAACGAACAAAGACAACGTTATCTCTGAATAGTGCCTTTGTATTTTTGCAGTTGACTGAACTTGTTTAAAACATCTTTTTGCAATCCTCTGTCAACATAAGGCAAATAAGGAAATACTCTTGTTTTTTCCTTCATTGAGGAAAAAAACACTCACATTGGTATTTAAATGTCTTAGATGTATTAAATTGGTATTCATTGCAGGGTAATGAGATATTCTAGAACTAACACAAATTTCATTGTTTAGCCAAAGATTAAATACATGCTCTTAAGTACCTGAGCTTCCTCATTTCTCATGTTAAAACAAAACAAAACAAACAGCAAAAAAAAACCACATAAGCAGTCATCTTAAATAGACAGAATAAAAATACTGATGTAGACTACAGCATTATGACACCATGGACAGACTGTTAAGATTTAAGCGCCAAAGGTTTGCCAAGCAGCACTCAAGATCACTTCATTAGCAGTTCCATCAGTATTGGTACTGACTGAGTTTTTGGCTTGTTATAATGTTTCTGGAAAGCAATTAGCTAAAACCAACAACTTGAATTAAGACTTGGTGGCTGTACAAGCAATTGGGTACTGCCTGGTTAAGCAAATCCCTGCAACTGTGAGATAAAATCTTGATGTTTTATTAGTTATGACAGTTCTAAAATCCAACACAAAGTAAACAGGAAACAGCAGGATTGTTTTATGAATACACTTATGTTTCACTTTTCCTAAAAAGAGGCAGCCCATATTTGTCATGTACTGTCTTACAGTTGATTAGTTACTTATGGCACACCAAGAGTAATAAACCAACTGACCTCACAAGATAGTTCAGTTAGTCTCCTAAACTTGCATGTAAGAAAGGTCATTGCTGGATCAGGACTTAATGGAACCCTTTGCATGTGAAAGGAGCCCTACCTTCTGGAAATTTTGAAGCACAGGAGGCACAGATCTCCTTGTCCTGTCACTCTGGGTGGCAGAACAAAATTAAAGTACCGTTACGTTCTACTCGAATCTCTGAAATGTGACTTCAAAATACCTACTCAAAGGACTAGGTGCAATGAAAATGCACTGGAAAGACTCTCTTTCTTCATGCACAGCTTATTAGTTTTATGTTGATGGGATTAAAACGTATTAATATTCTAGGAAACTGTATGGCTTCTGAATGAATCTTCCGATCCTGCAATTGTGATAAAGGCAAAACCAGTAACATCATTTAAACAATAATGACACTGAAAAAGGACTGCTTAAAGAAAAAATACAAATGATGATGATAAATAACTAAAACAAGCTTGGAAATTCTTTTCCATAGGTATTTAGCATTAGCAGATGCTTGCTTGTTTCCGATCAGCAACATTCCTTCCTATCGGACATGTAACTCTAAACACTACAAGTCATAAATCAGGCCTCACAGGAAACAATACTGTAAACTGTGAGATTTTAAAACAAAATGCTGAAGGTCTTTGGTGTTTTGTTTGCTTTCTGATTTCTTGAACCATTTTGGATGAATCTTTAATTTTTTTTTTTTACTATTTTATGATTGTGTGTATGGGAATCATAGTCTTTTTTTTTTTCTCTTTTTTTTTTTAATGAAAACTCAGCTTTTCCTGTGATGTTAGGATTTTGGCAGCTATTCCTTTCAGAACTTTATGTATCATGAATGAGAGTGGCAGACAAGCCTGAAGACACCCTGTTGCAGTTGCAGCCAAGACACTGAACACACTCAGCACACCGCTAGCTGACAGCAGACACTTCACTCTGCTCAGTGACTTACACTGATCGCACCAAAGATCCACAGGGAATACTCTAGACAGTGACAGTTTGCTACCCATGCCTACTTTTCCCCAGTGAAGATCTCCCAGATAAAAGCTCTGGCCTGGCAGAGCTGATGCAAATGCATTTGAGGGGGCAGAAGATCTGAGCCTGTCTGACCCGCGATAATTTGCATTCAAACAAAATAAATCTAGTTCAATTCCCATAGCAATTTTATTTTGCTATGAATAGCTCAGGCAGCTCCAATAGCGAGGAGCTCGGGTTACATCTGATTGCCAGCTGTATTGCTTACTAAGAAGTTAGGTCAGTGGTTCCCAACCTTTTAATTTTCCTTGTTGGAGTATACATTGCTATGGATTAGTTACATGAGAGAGTGGTCACAAGGAACTCTGTAGGGAATAAAGTATCAGCTTTGCTGATATTCCACATACACAGACATACATATGTCGAAATATCTACGTGGGAAGGAGAAAAGGAGTGGAATAAAAGATTTTAGGCCATTAAGGGAATGGAAAACGAAGCAAAGATGGCCCAAGGGTGAGAACATCAAGCTGATGCCTGCGTTATCTGGATTCAGCTCCCAGTTCTTTGTCATACAGCTTCTCTGTTCCTTATTTCTCAGTTTGAAAGGCAGGATAGTATATTCTATATTGTAAATGCTCAAAAAAATTGCAAAGACACACATTTGACCAGTCAGATGATTCTATGTCCCTCACTATAGAAGCTCACGGCCTTTCTCCTGCTGCAGCCCCAACCTTCAGGGTGCCACTCAGCAGCTTGAGCACACAAACCCATAATAGCTAGGTACTTGCCACTTAGCAGGACTCTGCACTGGTAAGCACCCTGCCCGAAGACGTGCTGCTCAAATACAGCTCTGACCACCATCTGTGTCTCATCACATCACTGGGTAGACTTCTGCCATGTGGTCCCCATCACAAGAACCTGAGTGCTAATACATTATGTGACCCAGAAAAGTGGTCACATCCACTGGAGTCTGAGGTTTGATAGGGTCGCTCCTAACAAGAAATTCCCTTACTGTAATTCTGGCTGCTTTACACATGGCTATACATAATGTGATTATTTAGCATTGACAAGAAAGGAGGAGTGGGAAAGAATAAACTTAGCCTCTGCTTTTGCTTGTAATCACATTTTCAAAGCAGGCCAGTAGCCTGAATCACACTGTCTTAGTTTCAGCTGGGATGGAATTGTTTTCGTCAAGAGTGGTATGATGCTATGTTTTTGGTTCCAGGAGAAAAACAATGCTGATTACACACTGATGTTTATAGTTGCTGCTAAGCACTGTTGTACAGAGCCAAGGCCATTCTCATTGAAGGCCCAAAGGAGCTGAGAGGGAACAGAATCAAGATAGCTGATTTAAATTGGATAAAGAGGTATTCCATATCATATGACAACATGTAGAAGAAGTTTGGAAGGGAGTTCACCTCTCTCTCTCTTCTGCTGCTCAGGGTGCTAGCTGGGCATTGGTTGGGGGTGGCAACCATAAGCAATTGCTTTTGCATCACTTGTTATATGCATTTATATATATGAAGTCATAATTATTATCCTTTTCCTTTTCTTTATCTTAGTAAATAGTTTTATCTCAACCCACAAGTTCTACTTTGTTTCTGATTTTCTTCCCCATCCCACTGGGAAGGGAGGAGTGAGCAAATGAGTATGTGATGCTTAGTCACATGCTAGGTTAAACCACAATGCATTTTCTTTCTAAGAAATGACAAATCAGTAAAACTTCAAAGGCAGTTCATACTATTAACTTGAAACAGGGCAGCAGCATATCACCAAATTAAATTTAGGCCTCACTGTTTTCTCAGTTGGTCACAACATAAGAAACCTTTCCAGGACAACTTCATGTGGAAGTCAGATACACAGTAAGCCATACAGACATCCTTAGTCTGCAGGTCTTAGTTTAGAACGGACATTTGATTAAGAAGTGAGTTATTTGCTAAGCCAAATATAGTAACTGCCATCTATAGTCCATGTCATGAAATATGCCCACATATTTCTGGGCACAGCTTACAACCTGCCTTCACATTATATTATCAAGTATACCATGGGTCCAAAAATTTGATTCCTTAATTGTAGGCAAATGCAACAAGCTAGCAAACAGTGGAACACACATGGACTGCCTCATTCCTGTTCTGCTTCAGAACTGTGCACTCATCCATACTCTCTCCCACAAATTATGCTATTTTTTAGTATAAGGGAACGATGCACAAAGGTGAGCATGCCAATTCTTTTGCTGGTTTTACTAGTGAAATTAAAAGCAGAAAACCTGGGTGAATTTGTCCCCTTTAGAAAAGCATTTGATACTCTTATAAATGAAAGTTTGGTGAGAAATTATTTTCAGTAAAATTTTCTAATTGCAGTAATTCCTGTAATAGAAGCAAGTTTAATCTCGTGCAAAAATCACTACAATATGTTCTGGTGAGGTACGAAATATGACACAGTGTCAAGATAGTCCTCCTAAAATTGAGATGATAACAATGCTGCTTTAATTTTAGTCCATATTTTCAGTAAAAAGTGAGTTAAATTCACCCCTTCTCATCTAACACACCAATTTAATTTACATCTGTTGGCATCTGTAGTGGAAATGCTAAGTCAGGGCTTAAAACAGGGATTGAACACCTGGTGGGAAGGCAGGGCCAACCCATGGGAGCTCAGGTGCATGCAATGCATCTGAGTGACTGGAAGGTTTGGAGCCAGGATCCACCCCTTCCCAGACCTCATTTAAAGATTGGCAGCGGAGGTAAGAGTTTCTTTTGATAGAGATCCCTGCCTATGTGAAACCTAAATGTAAGTAACGCTTTTCCTTCATTTCTGTATCTGCTTTTGTGTTTGTTCTCATTTGCTGTAGCTAAAGACCTGCTATTTCCATCCCGTTATAGCATTACAACATCCTATCTGCTGACAGGGTCAGAGAGCAACACACAAGTCTAAACCAGCATCTGGACTGTTAACATAATGGTTTGTAAGTATTCAGATCTGTATTTGACTCAGCCTGCCTTACTAGGCCTGCAGAATTACAAAGGTTATGAAAGGTTACTCTGATTTTCCTATAAGTAGACTTTAGTATAAGCCAGTGAATTAAGTTGAGGTGAGTCTTGAGAAAAATATGAAAGACTGCGTGGAAATAGTTACATATTTTTCATTAACAAAACTAGCTCCATCATGTACCTCAGAAAATCAGTGATAAGAACAGAGTACAAAAAAGAGCATGAGGAGAAGACAAAGATTTCTGTTTCTACACAGACTTATAAAAACTGATCCAAAAAAACAGGCCTTTGATTCCTGTCTCAGCAAGCACACAATAGTGATTTCTTTTTTTCAAGCAAGTGAATAGCATTCATGAAAGTGTTTGTACAGTAGAGTGTACTACTCAGTGTACTACTTCCTAATATATTTTGTGGAGCTCCAGAGATCAAAGAAACCTTCTGAGGATATTTGAGACCTCAAGAAAAATAAAATGGCAAAGGGAAGGTTGTACTCAAAAGTAACTTTTTGTTCTGTGAGGTATTGTCTGTATTAAATTGGTCCAAGAAACCTGGAAATCTATTGCCATAAGTGTTGCCACAATGATAAGCACTATCAACCTTCTACATGGAACAAAAATGCAGGGAAGTCGAGGGAGATAAAATCCTATGGAATATGTTGACATCTTAACATGTTGAGAAGTTATAAAAGGATGGCTTAAAAAAAGAAAATCAGCAGAAGATTTAGCATGCAAAATTTCCTAGGCAACCTGACCTTCTTTCTGCAATGAATCTACTGAACAGTAGGTTAAGCAAAGGTCAGGTTAAATACAGGTTAAGAAAAAAGCTTCCAAGAAGAGGAATGTGCTGTCAGGTTTACAGAGGCTCTGGGACATCGTGGAAGTGAGTGAGAGTTACAGACACTTCAGTCTCATTTCTATCCCAGGGCTTGCTTGTGCTCCCTGCTCCAGCCTGCCTCTACAGAACACAAGAGCCCCAGTGAACACTCATGATTTACTATTCTCGCATTCTAACTTCTCAGCTGTATCCTGTCCTAAGCCCATCTCTCACATTAGTGTACCTCTGACTTGTCCCCAAAGCCATCTGGCTGCTGAGTGGTCACTTGGGCTTTCCCTGGCTAAGGGGTCTCCATCTGCACTGCCTGCCAAGAGACCAGTAACAGGAAGGTAGTCAAGTGCTATTCATCTCTACGCATTTTCCTACACAAGATCTTACATGTTTCTAGGAATTAAAATGCAGTTTTTACACTTCTCAGCGTGAATTTGCCCAACTTAATATGTCATGACTAAAGATGGGATTGTTCATGCAGTCCATGTGGATCATCAGTCATTTACTCCACCTTTCCTTCTTTCCATGTGGTAACATAAACAGAGGAAAAGCCAGAAAGACCTCTTGTTGTGAAACACTTCCTCTCGTCACATTATGTTACACTTTACACTTCTCCCACAAAATAAAACCAGCACTGTTAATGTCCTATAGAAGTAAATTAGTCACAAATAGCACCATGGGGAACTGAAATATTTTGAATATATACCATATAATCAGGAAATGCCCACCCTCCTTATCTGCCAGGGAACCAGGAAACTGAAAGCTTTGTAATTTTAAACTGCCCATCAGTTGCTATGAATCAATCACACATCTCACTTTGGAAAGTTAGTGTACATAAGGAATGCAGTTAAGATAAGAGAGAGCTGAAACTACACTCCCACTCTTGTTGAAATAGTTTCAGCCCGTGATTTCACACTTGATGACTCCTGTCCTGGGCTCCTCTCTTTGTGCTCCTCAAAAGGAGGATACTGGACATATTTTTTTGAAAACATTTATGCCATTATCAATCAATCCTAAATCTATCTCATTTTTTTTTTGTATTAGTAAATCAATTGTATAAGATACTTTATGAACTCACACAATAAGTTCTTCCTTTAACATATGCTAATACATAGCGATTGAAGTAATGCCAGAATAATGTATGTCACAGTCAGTTTTTGCAGCTACTTTACATCCGGCCACTTACTATGAAAACCAACCAGAGATGAATCTCATCAACTCTCTCCTTAAAATTTAAGCTAATTTCTGGAAGAGACATGAAAGAGTTCATTTAAATAGCTAGAACATGGTATCACTATTTAATGGCAGAGAAGATAACAGCTCTAAAAAGCACTACCCTGTGCAACTTTACGTAAATAACAGTGCATTAATATTTCGCTGTCTTTTGTAAAATCAAGATCAACATGGGTACCAGTTCAGTGCTTTTGTATAGACATACACATATGTATACATATTTTTTTTTCTTTTTATTGGCTAGTGAAATGCAAAAAGTCAGATCCAGAAGGTGAAGTGCCACATAGTCCAAATGCCACACTTGACTTCATCAGGATTTGATCATGATTAGACCAGGTAAGCTCTTTCCAGTTATTTATCTTTGTGTCTGTTGCTGGTTTTCTGGGAAGCTGTTTGAATTCCTGCTTCATTTCACTTCTGGCTGTTACTAGCCTGAGCAGGCCATGAGAAGAAGATAGGGTCAGTCTGCAGATTGGTTTCTTTGCCTTTCAGGTAGTCCTGACTCAGTGTAATCTGTTTATACAGCTCTACCTTCAGCTACTTACAAGATGTGTTTTGGGTCTGCCAGTGGAAACTGACATGCTGCACTTTCTTTATAGACTAGCAGTCCCTTCCCTCTGAAAAATGTATTTCTAAACCAAGTAGTAATTACAGTAATTTTACCAAAAAGGTACTGTGTGCCTCTTGATTCAAAGGCCAGGATGGAAGAAGACAAGGGAATCTTCTTGAGGTTCTGATCTAAAGAATTATAGAACATATTACTCATTATAAACTTCAGATGAAGCCCCTAAAAACAGCAGGTACTTATAAGTGACAGTAGAAGATATCATGCTGCAGGGATTAGAGCTGTACACTTCTGTCTCAGCCTGCTAAGTTTCCTTTTTCCTCCCCCTTTGCTGAGGTTTTAGATGCTAGAGGCAAGAAAACAATCTGATCATCAGTATGCATTGTTGGGAATGCAAAATATATCCATACAGCCTTCAGCATGGTTTCTAGCATGAAGAATAGCCAGTAACCAGAGAAAGAAACTGGGGACTGGAGATACTGTTGTGGTAGGCTGGTTTCTAGTGTTTTTACAGACAGTTATTATAAACAATGTAATGTAGAATGATCCTCTGTCAGAAAAAGTAGTAAAAAGGGGCAAAAGTGACAGAAGCATATTTTCATCCATATTATAGTAATCCACAGCTCCACAGGAGGCTGCAGAAAATTCAGGCTGGCCCTAGACCAAGGTTTGTACTTCAATCTTTAATTTATACTTGCATCAACCAAAATAAATAGCACAATTTTCTGTCAAGTGTTAACAGGAAATGAAACTGGGTAGCCACATATTTAGAAGGTTTAAACTTTCTTCTCTGACAGCCTTTATACCTACTCTATACCATTACCAGGTAATACTTCAATAGCTATATTCAGTGAAAATACTTATTGAGGTTTAGTCTAGCCTGAATTTAAGAACTACTGTTTTGGTGAATTCTTTCTTAAAAAAAAGAAGAAAAAAAAAGTACAGCATAAGAGAAGCCTACTTATGACAGAATTATTTTTAAATCATAGAATGCTTAGTGTTCTCACCGAAGTGCACTAATTTGCAGAAAGAGAAAGCAAATCTGTTTTTAATTTTATTAACTTGAAAAAATCTAATTATATTTTGGTGTGATATAAATTTTATATTTCATGGCAAAAAAACTGTCGATCTGAAGAGTAATCCCTGTTTCATTAGTTTGTGTATTCTGACACAGTATATAGTATTACATTCTTAAATAAGTTGGAAGCTGCACTGTGCTGCAGAGTATAAAAACAAAAGTGAGGGCTTAAGCTAGGTCAAGCATATTTTGTACAGGTCCATCAAAAATCTCATTCTATTAATATTAATAAAGATGTTGAGACACAAAAGTCCTTCAATTAACATATTAGGCAGGCAGGCACAAGCTTTCAAGTGATCCCACTGTGAACAGCAAGAATCCAGTCCTCACAGCATAAAGCCATGAGCGTGCTGTGTACATAGTAGTGCAGCTAGAAATGCTAATGCCACAGAAGAGTGAAAAGGCAATGCCCTATTGTCTCCATAAGTAAACATCACTTTATTGCTTCGGCTTCCTCTTTAACTAAATGTGTGAATGCTGAATGTTGCTATTCCAGTAAGAGTAACTTCAAGACCTGTTACCTTTGTCATCATACTTTTTTTTTTATTTCACTACTTTGTGGCAGGAACTAGCTGGGAAGCTACATATAAGATTCAGGAAAATGATTTTTGTCTGACTGCATAAATTGTTTGTAGATTTCCCTAGCCTATGGACACTGTAAGAAAGAAATTAATTTGAACTTTCCAGAAATTACTTTGGATAATAATGGTTCCCACGGTACTAAGCTCCAACCACCAAGACTCATTCACTTGCATATGACCTAATTACTTGACATTTCTTCACCTCATTCTTAGTGACTTCCGAGCATGATAAACAATAAAAGGTTACTGATGTCAAACTATTATGAGTCTCTAACACACACTAAAGCTCGTACTGAAGCTTAATACATTTGTAAATTGTGTTGATCTGCAAGGCATTATGATTTCAGGTTTCTGTAAATGTTTACCTCCAAGCTTTAGTCAATGCTCTGCTGTCTGAACCAAAGTAAAGTTCTGCTTCCATCAGCTATTCACATAGCTGGTCGACTCACTGTCAGAGCAAATCAATAGGAAATTCCTTTTGCATACTGTAATTTATGGTAGACCTGCAGCAACAGAATTGGGATTAAAATGGGATAAGAAAAGGCAAGAAAGAACCAACATTTCTGCTCCCAGTGACATGATCAAAAAGACAGAGGAAGACCTTGTTTGTAATACAGTTATACATTAAAGTTCAATTCAGATACCATGTAAGGGCTAGTCAGAGCATTCCCAACACAAAATGAGTGAGTTTTAGGAAAAAGATAATGAAGACTGAACTTCAGTTGTGTAACTTGCTGTAGATTTAGCTCTCGTAGAGATAGCCAGGTTTAACCCCTGTTCTGCTAACTCACTGACAGAATACTATTTAAAAAAGTGTCTCACAGACCAACAGCTTCTGTGCATGATTGAGAGTCAGGTTAGAGGAAATACTTCTAGTAACTAACAAAGCTGTTCACCTCAGTGGAGCTGTTGCCAGTTTATCGTTGGACACTGAAATTTCCAAAAAGAAGACAGGTATTTTTCTAGAATCTCCTTGGAGAGTTATAAATACATAAATGAAATCAGACAAAGCTCTGAAATTGTCTTACTGAACCAACTATAAATTATTGGCATAGCAGCCAATTGCACAGCAAGGTGGCAGTTTTTATTGTACCCCATCCAAGAACTGCGAATTTCACATCACAGAAGGTGATAACAGGCCTCTGTCATTCTCTCACAGCTGGCAGTACCAGGAATCAAGGTCAAGTTCCCAATTGAACACAAGCATAGTCATCACAAAGCTGTCATACTCAGGATGCTGGTTTTGCAGAGAGGCTAAGGAAGGAGAAAGCTTAGAGGGAAAGAAAAAAGAGGATTTACAACAGTTTTGATACTATTGTTTGTTCTAATTAAGTGGGCTGTATAGCATGGTCAGGGCACAACCAGCATGCCCCTCTGCTTTCCACTGCTGTGTGCCACGTACAGAACTTTGGGAGTGGGCTGCTTGAGATGGACTTGAACTACAGTTTCACAGACTGTCACTTTGTTTTGAATAAGTGAAAGGCTTTAGATTCTGAGTCTGCAAACCTGGTATTTTCCTCAAATGCTTTTGAAGTGGAGGAAGAAGGTAAAAGAAATAAAACCTTATTTATTAGTAACAAAAAGCTGCTACTAGTTTTTAGAATCTGCTTCTACATAGAGAAAGACTTTGAATGTTCAACAGTTCACTGCTGTGGAGAAAAGAATATGTTGCATCTCAGCAGCAGAGATGGTATGATCCAAACAAAAATAGTGGCACTTAAAATAAAAATCCTCATTTACATCAAAGACATCCTGTTATGAGGAGGTCAAGTCTGTGCAGACAGGTCATCCTCTCTTGACCCCTATGGAGGCATTTGACTACTTGTTTCTCTCTAACAGATTGACTCTCTAAGGGAAACTGTGGGAACTAAAAGTTGTGGAAAGACTTTGCTATAGCAAGAAAAATGCTCATGTTTCAAGGATAGATGAAGTCTACTGATTCCTTTAGAAATTGCATCACTGCTTCTTAAAGAAGAAAGATAAACTGCCTATTTATGCAACAACTCTGATTCTGGAACTGTTTTTAGGGTGCAAGCAGTGGTGCTCATAACAGGCTGAAGTTTGGTGTGAGAGACACCAAAGAACAATTTCTGTGCTCTTACTGCCAGTTAAGTAGTAATGGAGCAGGCAAAAACAAGTGAACAGGCTAGCTCCTGTGGGCAGCCTTGAGACCTGTTGGATGCTCACAGCCCACTGTGTTCACGCAGATGGAGCCAAACTGCTCTTAGACAGTGACACAGTATTTCCTCTATGCATGTGCAAATTTTTTATTATAAAACCTGGAAAAAACACTACTGCTATCACCTCTCCTACCCAGTGTGGGCAGATTACTTGTACAGCATTTAACCTCTGAAATTCAAGTTCTCACCCATGAGAAATCAGTTGGCTCACAATGCCTGGGATAACATAATCCTTGTGTTGCAGAGTTAAACAGAAAATTTTTCAGACAGCTATAGAGAAGGGTAATCAACAATAACCTATTCATCATGCAATTCAATTCCAATCGGAGGTCAATAGAAGGCTGAAGTCAGAAGTATTCAGTATTTGTCTAGTATAATTTAAAATATCTTGAAGAATATGGCTTTTCCTCACTGTCACTTCATTTTCCTTGAAATGATTTTCCTCCTTTCCTCTTGATTGTATTAAGAGAAGAATAATGGCACAATGTCCATCAAGACAGGGGACAAAATGATGGTCTTGTGAAACAGTTTGAATTTTATAAGGGACAGAGATGTAATGGTGTGTGAATATAAAGCCAATTAACATATGTTCCAATGCTGTTTATTTTGTTCCCACGTAAAAGCAAAAGTACAGATTTGCATATTGACTTGTGGAAGGCCTAAAAATAGTTTTGAGAATAAGTCAAATTGTCATTTTTGTGCTTGGTTTCTTTTCGAGGTCCTACTGGGCCAAATTTTGTCCTATTTTTACAGCTGTAGTTTTCTAAAGGAACTTCCTTATAAGCAGCAATTGTTTTGTACTTTCACCAGCAGCCTGGCTCACTGATTTTGACGGCAGTTTGTCTGAATAAGAACCTTGGGATTTGTCTCAACATACTTAATTGGACTTAAAGTGTGAGCTCTAGGAATAAGAGACTGTTGTTAGCATGAACTTAAATAATGCTAATACAGGGTGCAATTAAATGACTACAAAGAATGGGTACATGAGTTGCCTTGCCTGCCTGCCTCTTAGGTGGCCAGACTACATTAAGAAGCTTTAATTTTGTGGCTTCTTTGATACTTTGAGCAAGTCCTGCCCTCAGACATGTACACACAACTACCATTGAATTAATACATCTCCTGTTTATCTCTCACTACTACATCTAACCCTTTCTCCAGTCGTAGACTCCTCTGACAGCTCAGTGAGTGTAACATGATTCATCCTTCCCTCCTCTTTCTCTTCCCTTGACTAGACACTAACAAACAACAGAATTTGAGACAAGAGGCCCCTTATAATGAAAGATTCAATCACATCTTACCAAAAACAAAGGAGGGCACTGGCTAGTGCATGAAGCTGACTCCACTCTTCTAATTGCTGCACATAAATAAAAGGGCAGAATGGCACATATTCTCCTCTAGTATAAGCAGGAGCAGTCTGTCAGGTCTCCACGCTGGCGCACTTGTTTAGGGTTGAATCTGGCCTAAGCAATAAAATTATGTATTTTATGGGACTTTTACTGTTCCATTAAATTGATTATAATGTAAAGCTAAGAGAATTCCTTCATGTTGTATACATATTTCTTTAGGGGGCACATGCTTTGTGTTTGCCTAATACATGACTCCTCCACCAAACAGCTGCAACACTCCCACAAATGTTACATAAAAGCCAACTCATTCATTATGATCAATATTTTCTATGTCTTGTGCACTGGAGTATGCTATAAACTTCCTCGACTCTTTCAGAGAAAGGTCTTGTTCACAAGGGAACATCACTTCTGATCCTAGAAATACATGTTTAAATTACTTTCAAGAATGTCAGCAGTGAGATTATGTTCTTGAGACAACTTGAGTTGTATTCTGCCCCAGTTTAGTGTGTGCTGCAAACAACTTGCCATACAAGAGACAGAACAGAGAGAAAAAGTATATAAAAAGAGACAATCAAACCACAGAGAGTAGTAAAGCTTTTAGGAACAATGTCATCCTGAAGTGGGTTTAAAGATGGTGAACCTGACACTAATATCTGTTTTTAATACAGGAGAGAGAATGTCATGATTAAAAGGATGGGCAAGGAGAATACACAAATGGCCATATTGAATACTTCCTAAAAGATTTTCTTATCCTAACAGTGGCCTACACTATCTCCTTCAGAAAACCCCTTTATTATGAGCGTTTGGCATAGTCTGCGTTCCAGTTATATGACTAAAGGCAATTACAGGTAATTTGATATTAACTGAACAATAGTGGGAATCAAATTTTATTCTGAATAAGTAAGAATTAAGTCAGGACTTCAGAAAAAAATATATATAATTTTGGGCAGAATGAGCAGTTTGAATTGAAAGTGAGGTGAAGTGGCAAGACAAACCAGTAGCCTGGATGTACACACTGGGATAGCACAAGGAATTGAAGGAAACTCCAAAAAGTCATGCTTGACATACACAGGAGTTTTATTAAAAGTGATAGTGAATATCAGTGAAGAAAGGAGTTGAAAATTTTACCCAATTTTCTATTTGGGCCACATTAAAATGATGCTAGAAGAACAAACTGCTTTTGTATTTACAAATGTAAATGAACTCACTGACCCAAAGTTAAAAGAGTTGAACAAACAGAAACAGCTCTGAGAGTAAGAATGTATTAGCAAAATATATGAAAATTAAAAATAAAAGTTATCATAGTTGTTTTAATATTGTCTTCTCTCCAGACAGCCCAGAATATATATATATATTTTTTTTTTGAAGGCATATAAAGTAGGATTTTTTGAGCATTTATAAACTGAGCATTTATAAACTGTGTGATGTAGAGCATAAGCCTGAATTTTACTAAATGTGACACACTTTATTATTAGGTATGCATGATGCTGTTACTTAATGGCCAATGGCGAAGCAGGCATGTAGAAATATCTGAACAAGATTTCCTGCATACAAGTTAATTTCATCAAAAAGTCTGGATAAACATGGTACAGCAAGCAAGGCATATGCTGAATAAAGAAAAAAGGGCGGGGAAAAAAAAGGAATTTTCCTGTTGACAATCAAAGTACCTAAATATTTGGGTGATGAAAAGGCAAGAGATATTACTCAAAGCAAATGTGCATGCATTATCCTAAAATGCTAACTTAATTTACACCAGATAAAGAGCATGGATCCAAGTTTGCCTTTTGACCCATCGAGAAAATTATCTTGATGGATGGAAACATTTGGTTTCCAATCAACAATTCAGCATGAAAATGTGAGGCCTTAGTGTCATCTAAACTGTTAAAATGTTAGATGAGCACATATCTTAATAGATGATACTGAAGCAACAAATTCTTGCTCCTTTCCAGTGTTAAGTTAAGGTCATTCTGTCTAACAAACCAATTCATATAGACTCTCTCAAGAGTCCACTCTGCAGGCAATGGCAGATAACAGACAACTGAATGACTGAATACTCTAGGTCATCCAAAAAATTAGATCAAAGAGTCCCTGTAGTCTATTGAAATGCAATTGCCTCCAAATCACATTGTGGTGTTCCAGGCCTGAAAGAATGGGTCACTGCAATTTTTTTGTAGAGAAGCTATTGCTAATGAAAGGAACAATGGAAAGATTAGTGCTACCAACCATATAGAAGAAACACCACTTTCGGTTTAATTGCAGTGAACAAAGCAAATAGGAAAGAAGGGCAACCAAGTGACAAAAGTAGTTGGTGCAAAGAGGATATAGAAGCTATTCACAAGGTTCTCCTGGTCAGGGCAGAGCGTCCAGACTTAACATATGATTACTGAATTTGGATCACAGTAAAAAGCAACGCGGTTGTCATTACAAACAGCTGATGAGACATTTTTAAGAAAGCAGTCTTGCAAGCTGAAAGACTAAGAATTGTGTTGATAATTTTCCTGCCAGGCACCAGTTGCACAGAAATTAATAAAAGGATAGGGAGAAAGGAACAATTATATGTTGTGATACTGACTGTGCAGGAGATTATTAAAAGTTATTTTAAATTGGTAAATGAAGTAAAACAATTTAAGGTGAACTATGTTGAATCTTGGGACTGATTAAAGAAGGAGACAGATTCCAATTGATAATAGCATAGATACTGAAAAGGTTCTGCCATAATAAATTTTTTGAAGCCACAATATTTATTCTCTTTTGATCAGTTTCTGGATCTTTTGTAAGTAAAGCTTACCAGTCATAACAACCTGTATGTCGAGACAGTGGTAAAAGATCCATTTCAGTCTCAGTTAAGATCACTACATTCTGTTTCTCTGTGACCCGAGGCAGACTTGAACCTTCCTTCTCCAGACAAGACATGACAAGCCCAGCTCCACTTAGCTCTTGATGCATGTTAGAAAATAAAACGTGACCAAACAGGGAGATCACCCAAACTCCAGCTGTTGTACAGAGGCAGAGTGCTTCCCTTACAGGAAATGGCAAACACTGCAATAAGTTAAAACAGCTTTTGTCTAAATAAAAGTGATAATACCTATTAGTTTTGAAAATTAAGTTTCCATAGAAATTCCCAACTAAGCACATTTGATAATGACAGTTCAGTACTACAAGCATAAAAACAAAAAAATTCATTCCAGCTCTTGGCATTTGCTCCAAAGCCACATTTGCAACTGTTCAAATGAACTGGAAAATACTAATTCATCTAACTGCTGTGACCAACGCATTTAAGTAGAGCATTCAAAATATTACCAGACTATTTCAACCAATTATCAGTATTCAACAGCTCTTCCTAGTGACCCACCCTCTTCTCAAGTCTCTGATTATTATTTCAAAAGGAACACTGGATGTCTGAAGTGCCCTTCTTTTAGTCTTACCATGCAGTTTAATAGCCCTTATGATCAAGTACCTTTGCAAAAGAGATTTCTAGAGGGTGACCCAACATATCCTTTGGAACTCTGCACCATACAGCATAAAGATAGCTCCATATAACCTAGCACTGTTGAATGTCACTGTTCTAATCTGTGTCCATATGAAATTTGTGAAGTGCAAGATCTTTTGCCTTAAAGCCATTAACAACTATTAATTCTGTAGCTAGCTATCCTGAATTACATCAGTAAAGACCTTTCTGGAGGAAAACAGCACTATCAAATACATTTTGGAAAAAAAAAATCATTTGTGCATAGTAATTTTTCATGAACAGCCATTAATAGAATGTATGCAAAGACAGCATTTAACACGTTCATAAGAGATCAACTCATCAAGACTTATAAACCAAAGTAGGCTGGAATTGCCACAGGAAGCTAAGGGAAATTGGTTCATAACTCCTGCTGTGTTAGGAAATTCACCCTTCCTTAAAGCAGTTGACAAAACTAGGTATACATTTTTTTCTCATTAGCTTGGAGTTTCATTTTTTTCTTTATTCACAGCAGTTCACAATAGCAGGAAGAACATTTATTTAAGAGGAAGCAAAACAGGTAGAAACTATCACAAACTACAACAAACGAAAACTTCTATGGGATAGCTACTAGGCCTAGCAGTCTTCTGCTTTTTTCCTGAAAGATCCTTAAAGGTGCAATACAGTTAATTAACTATACCTATACCTCTTCTGTTAAATGCAATAGCAACCAGTGGTATTAAGAAAATCACCAAATGGCAGATGGTACATAAAGATCTTTGCCAAAACAACCATGGTTCCACATATGAAAATAGTTTTGAGTACTGATTTGTTTGAAAGAGACACTTACCAAGCCTACACATGTAGATATTGCTACTGACGAGGTACTATCGTTCCTTATAAATCCCTGGTAGAAACACTGCTCAATTTCATGTTCCTGAGAATTTGAGACTCCATCTTTCCCAAGTACCTGGACAACAAAACTGTTGCTTAAAATGGTTGAAGGCTTAAGTTC